AAGCCCTCTGTCAGCTAAGGTGGATTTAAATTTGTCCCCTTAGACAAACACCAACCCCGGTCTACAAGGTTCCCTTGGACGAAGCAACCCATGGCTGCTGACAAGGATCCTTCTGTCAGGTTGGGTCGACTACCTCCTCTGACTAAGTAGACCAGGGACCACGATGGCCCGGGACGACGGAACCATGGGATCTTGATCGGGTCCATCATCCATTCCCCCACCATCCGCTTTAAGTGCTAGATGGTGCAATTTCTATTTTAAATATCAAACCTTTCAAATTTCCAAACTTTCAACCCAAATTCCCAAATCCAAACCCAACTTTCAAATCCAAATTCTACCAAAATCCAGTTCTCCAAATTCCAAACCTATTGCTGCTACTATATGCCAGATAACACGTATTTCTATACGTATCTGATCGATGACTAGCCTTAATCGAAAGTTCTCTCTCGTGATCGAGAGGGGTAATTAACTATAGGGGCTTGCGCCTATAGGAAACCAGAACTCAGATCATAAAGTCCTCGCAAAATGAGGGCGAAATCTCTGGGTAGTGTCTTATCTACAAACCCATCTGCCTTCCAAAATTTATCCCGGAACTTAATTCGTTAAAACTCCCTCGCCGAATAAGAAAAGCGAGCGGAGGCCGAGGCCGAATTTTCGGAGCCCACAATCCCGTACGAACTAAGTTCGTCCGGTACGAATAGTTATTCCCAAAGTTTGTTGGTACGAAAATGAAGGACGAATTTCAAGTCTCCAGAACAAAGAAGATCATCCTGGGACGAACAATAAATATTGTCTGGACGAATATTTCATTTTGGCCAATCCAGAGCCCATCGTCCTGGGACGAACTATATTTATCGTCTGGACAAACCCATCCAGAGAGCACTGTCCTGGGACACGATAAATATCGTTCGAACGAACGCGTCAAGAGCCCATCGTCCTGGGACGAACGAAAAACATCATCTGGATGAATAGTTCATTTTGACGAATATAGAACCCTTCGTCCTGGGACGAACCCTAATTTTCATTCGGACGAATGCATCCAGAGAGCATCATCCTGGAACGAATAATAATTATCGTTTGAACGAACATGTCCAGAGCCCATCGTCCTGGGACGAACGAAAATATCGTCTGGTGGAATAGTACTTTGAAAAGAATTTTGGCCCTCTCTGTTCGTTCTTTCGCTCGTTCGAGAGTTTTAACTGACCAGATCGTCCCGTACGAACATGATTCGTACTGTACGACCAGTTTCAAAAATTATGAATTTAACTCTCGCTTGGTGTGTGTGTGTGTGTTAAGTTACTTAATTACAATCACACACTCTCTCAGATTCAAATAAAGAGAAAAATACAGGCTTCAATATTACAACACATTCTAAGCAGATCTTGATTTGAAGTCATTAACAATCTGGAGTATGATTTTCCTGAAAAGTTAGTACACACAAGAGCAAAAATAATTCTTTCAAAATATGTTAGGAGAAAATAATAATCAAAGTAATAATATTTGGAATTATCAAAACATACAAGTTGCAAGAATATAAATCATGCAAAGCTAAGTAGCAACTCTCAACATGTATGAGGAAAGGAATGGGTATGGAGGGGCTGAGCAAAAGGGTGCTGATTGGGAACGCTGGGAGGGATATTATGGTCGTCGAGTTGTTGATTTTGATGGAAGGAGAGGGAAATTTGAAGGGAGATTAGGTTATGACAGGGCAAGGAAAGATCGGGAGACGTGGGAAGGGCAAAACACTTGGGAGAGGGGAAACTATGGAAGAACAAGGGAAAATGGGAGAGATCATAAGGTAAGAAAGCTGAAGACGCCCATATTCGAAGGGGAGGATGGTATGGGTGGATTTATAAGGTGGAGAGATACTTCACTGTAAATGGGCTAATGGAGGAGGGGAAGCTGACAGCAGCATGCTTATGTTTTGAGAGGGAGGCACTATTATGGTACCAATGAAGAGGTCAGAGAAGACCCATCAGGAGCTGGGGAGAATTTAAGGAATGAATAATAGAATGTTTCCAAACCGATCGGGGAGGGAATTTCTATGAGCAGTTTTTTGCTCTGATATAGGAGGGATTAATATCAGACTATCGGGAGCGGTTCGTGCACCTGGCCAATAGGGTGGAGTGATTATCAAATACGATATTGGAGGGGAACTTCATGAAAGGGCTGAAGGCAGAGATCA